ACCCCACACCCGAAACCCTAAACCGCCCATCATGCCTCCAGCGCGCCAAGTACTTGGTAGCCCAGTCGCCATATGAATATTAAGTTGGGCACCCTTTTTTTGGCTGGTTGCTCTATTTTGAGGGAACCCAGAATCCCCCCACACCCCAACAAAAAAAAAGGGGGTACCGCCGGGCTACCAAGAATGCCCTAAAACCGCCTTCATGCCCCCAGAACCATAAAGCCTCAGCCCCAAGCCCTAAGCCCTAAACCCTAAACAGTGCCAAGTAAAGCCAAGAAGCAGGATCATGGGCGTGACGGCGTTCAAGAGCAGCACAAAAGCCTGCAGCGTGCCCCACCTCTGCGTCGCACCGGTGCTAGAGATGAAGATGATGGCAGTTGGGGGTTTAGGGTTTAGGGTTTAGGGTTTAGGGTTTAGGGTTTAGGGTTTAGGGTTTAGGGTTTAGGGTTTAGGGTTTAGGGTTTAGAACCCTAAACCCTGAACCCTGAACCCTGTCGGGTTTCGGGTTGAGGAGTTTGGGGTCCTACGGCTGATATGAGCTTAGGCAGGGTGGCAGGAATTCACTGAGGTGCACACGATGGGGTGGGGCTAGCCATCTATGGCAAGGCTCCTTCGCATAACCCTAAACCCTAAACCCTAAACCCGAAACTCGATGGACCCTCTGGTAAAGTTGAGGACTTAAGCAGGCGCCAAGCCACTGCCAGTGCGGCCGGACCTGTGCAAAAAACAGGCTTCGGAAAAGGGAGCGGTTTAGGGTTTAGGGTTTAGAGTTTGGGGTTTAGGGTTTAGGGTTTGGGGTTTAGGGAACTTTGGGAACGCCCCTGCCCGTTACTCCCTAACTCTACCAAAGCTGCACCCCACATGCTCCCTTAGTACCTTAAAAGGGGGACCCCTTCTATCCCCCTTGTAGACCCTGCCTGACCCAAGGGCCAATACATCAGAACCCTTTGAAGAGCGTAAGGGACAGTGCATTAAGGGACCGTATTACGGGACCATGAAACTACCCTCAGGCATGCAGAGTTGCGGGTTTCGAGGTTCGCGGCTCAGGATTTCAAGTTTTGGAGGCGGATTCGTTTAGGGTTCAAAATAGGATTTACCGTTGAAAGTTTAGGGTGTAGGTTTAGGGCTTAGGGCATGTATAACCAATACTTAGGAGACTGCAGCATAAACCCGACATCCGAAGCCCACATCCCTTCCCAACGTAAGCTGGCGCCTGCCGCATGCTTGGAACGCTGTCATTGACGTTGGGCACGTTCTCCGTATCCTCACAAAAAAATCTAAACTCCCGGGAAAAAGACGGGGTGTGGGTGTATAAGGGGGGGAAAAGGGGGTATAATGGGTATAATAGGATCTCTGGGCTCCGGGTGTTCATGAAGCTTCCGGGTTTAGGGTTTAGGGTCTCGGGCTCAGGGTGGTAAAAGGGGGTACATACGGGGTGTATAAGGGGTCTTCAGGGGGGTAAAAGGTCCTTTCAACCTTAAACCCCCTTAACCTTGCTGCAGTGCTCATGAGGAACCGTTTGTGCAGACACCAAAAACTATAGCATAAGACTCATAACCCTATCTCATCCCGACTTCTGACTTTCCGGGAACCGTCACAAGCCCCAAACTCTAACCCTTAAACCTTCTCAGTAACCTTCCTAAGCCCAAACTCCAAGCCCTTCAACCTCCACAAGAAACCTTCAAGTACTTGGAGGTTCATGGGCACTTAGGAGTAAGGTTGTAAGTACCCTTAAAAGGTTATAAGCATAGTTACCATACTTATAACCTATACTCTATTAGAACCTTGATAAAAACACATTGTGAATATACCCTTGGGTTTTATTTAAATGATTACCACTTCGAACCTCCCCCACCCTGTCCCGAAGACCCAATTGAAAAAATCTCGCTCCGGCACCGTCCATGGCTTGCCTATTCAGGCAACATTTCGGCACAGTTGACCGCCTTGTCATGAGCTTCTCTGCTCTACTTATTGAGGCGCAGCTGGGCACACCAGGCCACTGTACCAGAATGTTGCCTTAACACGCACGCCAAGGAGGCTCAGGATGTTGCCGGGTTGCCGTAACAAGCAGGCCAAGGAGGCTCTGGTCCAGGCGGGCAATTGTACCGGAATGCTGTTGGAACAAGCAGGAACTGTAGCGGAAAGTTGCCTGCGTAAGCAAAATAAGCAGGCCAGCGGCCAGTGAAGCGCAGGTGGGCAACAGCATCGGCAATTCGTCTTAATAAGCCGGGCAGGGGCTCAGGCCGGTGCATGGGATGTAGGGGTCAACCCAGGTTTGAACTTCCAGTCTTCTGCAAGCCCTGGAGACGTCAGCAGGCCCGGGAGACTTCTGCAGGCCTTCAATCTTCTGCAAGCCCTTGAGTCTTTTGCCGGCCTTTAAGTCTTCTGCAGGTCCTGAAGTCTAAACTCTATAGGGGCCACAGCACCCTTTGAAACAACTCTTCAACAAAATCTCAAATTTGGGCGAGAAGGAGGATTTAAAGTTTAGGGTTTAGGGGCTAGGGCCCAAGCCGCAGTGCTCTCGAAGCTGTCCTTACGTCTGTTTCATCCCTTGTGAATAAATTATCTCAGCAAGACGGACATGTTCGAAACGACACAGAGGCATCGCAGCGGCCATGAACAGCATGTTTACAACTGCTTGGCACCACATGTCGCAAGACTGCAAAAGGCACAGGCTGCAACAGCTGCCTTGTCTCAAAAAGCACATCATCAAAATGTTTGTAACTGCACATGACATGTCACAGGACTGCGAACTACGTTTGTTCTCAAAAACACATCGTCAAAGTTTATGCCCTCCAACTAGGCGGACGGGATACTTTGTGTTGCGGTCGCTTGCCCGTACATACGGTCAAGCTCTAGTAGAGTGAATGCCAGTGAATGCTCTTTCATTTCGTCACTCGTGACGGTCGCTTCTCTGCAGGTCCCGAAGTCATACCACTCCCTTGATGTACTGCAGTGAGGAATTTAGAACAAATTTCTACTCTCTACTTTTTCGAGGACAAGTGCAATTGGCCTAGGGCGGGTCGCAGCAGCAGCAGCAAGCTCGAAGTCGCCCAGATGCAGCAGACTAAAGCCTCGGCCCCCCGACAACATGCGCCCGTTCTTTAGCACCACAGTGCTGCTGCAAGCAGAAGCGCACAGCGGCCCGCGCAGAAATAAAAACCTGCCGACGCGAGTCCCTTGTCCATTTCGAGCCGGCCTTGAAAGGCCTTCTCAACGAGAAGAAGCACAAGAGATGGCTTCTTCAAAGGGACGATGCGCGCGACAGTGCCAGTCAAACGCTTAGTGGGACTTACGTTCTACAATGTCCGAGGAGGTGCGTCTTGCCCAGTCAAAGCGCAGACGCTCTAGTTCTAGCGGGCTGTACTGCGGCAGAAAGAACTTGCGCGCAAGTAGCCGCAAAGACCCGCGCGACCCCGACCTCAAACGCATCAGCTGCGAGGCGATCAGCAAGACTGGCCTTCCACCTTTTCCACGAGGTTGTCCTAGTTTAGCAAGGTTGTTTCTGTCATGGGCAGCAGCTGTCCTTCCTGGCGCCGCGGAGACAGGAAGAGCGGCAACACGGGCAGGCGGTACGGGAACACGGGCGGGTGGGGTGCACCTAGTTAACAAGAGTCAGGTATTCGGCGCAGTACTGGCACCCAAACCAGTCATGTCGATTGGGCGTCGCAATATACACGCGAGACCACTCGTCCAGCGCAGCATGGTACTGACTTAACCCAAAGGCCAAAAGCCGAAGGTTTGGCACTTATGACTATTACCATATAGATGGCTACAGGCTGGAGGCGGGTAAAGGCAGTAAGCGCAAATGCAAACCCGCCAGCACACCCTGCCAGAACCAGCCCTGCTGCTCGAGCGTGTACCGCTCGCAGCGTACGGCCCTCAAGACAGCGGATTTGCGAAGAGCCACGTCGATCTAGCCCGGCGAAGATGTCAGAGTAAGCAACGCCGCTAAAAGCCGAGTTTCGCAGGCTGGCAAGCCGCAGAGCTTCAGACGTACCTCAGCCAGATGCGTCATACAGGAAACCTGGCTAATAATGGTTTGGGGTTTGAGACGGCTTCTATGAGCCGAGTTTTGCCGCAAAGCTTCAATGGCCGGAGGGGAGGAGGGGAGGAGGGGAGGGGAGGAGGGAGGAGGGGAGGAGGGGAGGAGGGGAGGAGGGAGGAGGGGAGGAGGGAGGAGGGGAGGGGGGAGGAGGGGAGGAGGGGGGCGGGAGGGAGGGGGAGGAGGGGAGGAGGGAGGAGGGGAGGAGGGGAGGGGGGGAGGAGGGGAGGAGGGGAGGGGGGGAGGGGTGAGGAGGGAGGGGGGAGAGGAGGGGAGGAGGGGAGGAGGGAGGAGGAGGAGGGGGAGGGGAGGAGGAGGAGGGGAGGAGGGGAGGGGGAGGGGGGAGGAGGGGAGGAGGGGAGGGGAGGAGGGGAGGAGGGGAGGAGGGGAGGGGGAGGAGGAGGGAGAAGGGGAGGAGGGAGAGGAGGGGAGGGAGGGGGGAGGGGAGGAGGGAGGCGGGGAGGAGGGGAGGCGGGGAGGAGGGAGGAGGGGAGGAGGGGAGGAGGGGAGGGGAGGAGGGGAGGGGGGAGGAGGGAGGAGGGGAGGAGGGGAGGAGGGGAGGGAGGGGGAGGAGGGGAGGAGGGGAGAGGGGAGGAGGGGAGAGGGGAGGAGGGGAGGAGGGGAGGAGGAGGAGGGGAGGAGGGGAGGGGCGGAGGGGAGGGGAGGGGAGGAGGGAGGGGATGGAGGAGGAGGGGAGGAGGGGAGGAGGGGGAGGAGGGGAGGAGGGGGAGGAGGGGAGGGGGGAGGAGGGAGGAGGGGAGGAGGGGGGGCGGGGAGGAGGGGAGGAGGGGAGGAGGGGAGGAGGGAGGAGGGGGAGGAGGGGCGGAGGGGAGGAGGGGATGAGGGAGAGGAGGGAGGAGGGAGTGGGATGGGGATGGAGGGGAGGAGGGGAGGAGGGGAGGAGGGAAGGGGAGGGGGAGGGGGGGGGAGAGGGGAGAACTGTCCAGGACAGTTCTCACGAGGAAACAGCTGACCAAATCACATGCCACGCAATCAACATGTCCACAAGCAACGCAATCCATGCAACCCGCCAAGCGCATGATGCCACGCAATCTACACGCAACCCCAAGAACACGCAGAGCTGTCGCTTGCGGACGAAAATGCTAACGCCTCCCACTCGCCAGCGCGATATAATTTTTGGGCAGGTACCAAAACACATTTGTTTTAAGCGGAAAGCCACGAAATCCATCACGCTGTCCATCCAGGCCATCCATCATCCATCACGAAGCAACATTTCGGTACAGTTGCCCGCCTGAGCCTTCCTGGCCTGCTTAGTAAGGCGACAGAAACTGCCTGGCCTGCTGTCCTGAATCTTGTACTGCCTGGTCTGCTGTCCTCCGGAAGCAGTCCTCCCTGCCGTCCTGAGCACGTCCCGCCACATGATGCTTGCCACTTTGTCCTTGAAATCTAACCACCCCACTTGTCTGGTGGGGAAAACTGCAGAGTTCCTAAGGGGGCTTATAGCAACCGCTAAACCCTAAACCCCTAAAGCCTAAACCCAGGAAGCCTCCCGCATTGTCTCGAAGGTTTGGTCGACGACATCCTCCAGGTTTGAGAGGTTCCGAGATGCTGCATGGGAGGCTTGGGCGGCCTTTGGGGCCTTAGGGCCTTTAGGGCCTCTAGGGGTTCAGGGTTGACAGTTTGAATGTACAGACAGGGCTTGGGGTGTGGCAACTCAACGACCAGCTGTCACAAGAAGGACTTAGCTCCAAGAACTGGGTAAACCAAGCACAGGCGAATCTCACAAAAAGCCAACACACCCCAATAATGAGCCCCTAGAAGCCTAACCAACTGCCAAAACCCTCCTAAAACCCCAGCGCCACCCTAAACCCCTAACCCCTAAACCCTAAACCTTCATCACTAAACAACCAACACACCTGCTCTATCTAACACCCTAAAACTGAAGACAACAAAACGAACCCTGGCTCTCAAGACAAGCCCCAAAGAACGAACCCTCAGCCCTCAATGCTTATGAAGCCCAATGTCAGGGCTGAACTCCTTAGCTTCTGCGCTTGGGGTAGGATTCAGGGTTTGAGATGGATCCCGATTGCTACTTGAAGCTACGGTGGTAGTTGTAAGTTCGGCAACATGCCTCCTCGCCCTGATTGATGCAAACCCTTCCGAACTCTAAAAACCCTTACTAAAATCCAAGACTCTGATCACTTCTCCAAAATGTGGGTCCTTTTGGGGTTATTGTCATCAGGCGTCCCGGGTTTAGGGTTTAGGGTTTAGGGTTTAGAGTTTAGGGTTTAGGGTTTGGGGTTTAGGGTTTAGGGTTTAGGGTTTACGGTTTCAAAAACCCTAAACCCCCTAAATTTCGAGAGCTCACCACATGAACCTTCAAAGATGAAAGGGTTCAATATTGCGAGACTGCATAGCTTGGGAAGTGAAGTTGGCTTGGTCGGCTTAGCGTTTAGGGATTACGGTCTAGGGTTTGGGGTTGTTAGGGTCGAGGGCTTCGGGTTTAGGGCATAGAGTCTAGGGTTTAGGGTTCAGGGTTCAGAGTTTAGGGTTTAGGGTTTAGGGTTTAGGGTTTAGGGCCTGAACCCTGAACCCATGAAGCCAACGGAAGCTCTTGATCCGAGCTGCTTTGAAGGGCATCATCTTCAGCGCGAGCCACATCTTGCGGGCCCGGATCCCTTTCACCTCCAAACAGTTGCCCTAAACCCTACACCCTAACCCCAAACCCTAAACCCAAAACGCTAAGCCCTAAAATCTAAAGCCTTGTGTCCGAGTTCGGGCTTGGGCTCTTCGGCCGGGTTGAAGGAAAAGGTCGCGCCTGCCGCTCTTCAGGTGGCTTCGGGTCTAGGATTTAGGATTTAGGATTTAGGGCTTAGGGTTTAGGGTTTAGGGTTTTACGGTTTATGGCTTAGGGTTTTAGGATTAAGGGCTCCTAACTCACCCTACTACCAATATGGGGCTTAGGGCTTAGTCATATCCCCCACTTTTCTCAGGGTAGGCTATGCGGCCCCTCAATGTGGACCCCTGATTGGTGAAACCTTATGTACAACTTTGATGCCCTATGAAGCACATACTTCGAAACACTCCAAAAAAGGTAAGGGACCATAGGGTTTAGGGTTTAGGGTTTAGGGTTCAGGGTTTAGGGTTTAGGGTTAGCTTCACGTAGAAGCTCCCAAACCCACAAACCCTGAACACTCTCAACCCTTGGGCCTTACCACGTCGTTAGTAGGGAAGGAGGCTTTAAGGCTTACGGTTTCATGTCAGCCCCTTTGGGCCTGACCAGCTCTTTATTCGGTAAGTTGGGAATTAGGGTCTAGGCTTTAGGGCTTGGGGCTTAGGGCTTAGGGCTTAGGGCAGAACTTAGGTATCTGAAGCCCCAACTCCTTGAAGGAAGTACATGTGGCACAGGAGCTGCACACTAACGCGAACCCGCAAGACTCTGAAAAAGCCCCCACATCGG